TGTCATAATATTATGCTAACTTAAGAGGATTTCATGATTTTGTAATCATTTGTATGAGAATATGTGAAACGTGTGCATATCTTGGCCTAAGCTATAATGATTGTGGTCAAATGTGTGTGAGAGGCCAAGATAATAATATAAGTGATGTGATTGAGATGTTTGTGTGATGAAAAGAGTAAAATGATTATTAGGTTGAGTATTATCCATACCATTATATTGTTGAGAATTGGGGGTTTAGTTGTCATTTTTTATGTGAAAAGTTATTTAAGTGATATGATTGACTTGATATGTTCTGTATGGTTCATTTAAAATGGTTAAAGTGATCCCAAAGCAAATGGCATTTGGCGTTGTGTTTTGGACACCATTGAATGTGTTTAGAGGTGAAATAGATCATTTTAGGTTTGAGTATCTATCTTTTTAATGAATGATTACTTGGGTATGAGACTAATGCCATTAGTTAGAAGACTCAAAGAGCTTCGTGTGGATACTTGAATCACTCAAATTGAACGTCAGATGGTAAAACGGCGTGTGCTAGAATTTCAGAGTGTTGTCATGACAATAGGTACACATCGTGGCATGTAGCAATTGCATCGTGGCACTATACTCAATAAGGGACTCATTCCTCTGTGCCATTCCCCATGGAAGATGTGGCCTGTGCCATGACTGATGAGTTAGTTTCTAGAGAAATTTCAATCTTCTTTTACTTGTTTTCAAGTGCTGATTGTTACCCATGCTTCCCTTATCATATTTGATTGATTTTAATCTATAGTTTGAGCTCAAACAATATTTTTAAAAAGAGTTTTTCTTAGAATCCTAATATTTTAAACTAATTATTTTTAAATCCTTGGGTTGTGATAATTTTTTTTTAAGATTTTACTAAATTTGAGTTATCACAATAGTGTGCTAGAGTGTTGTCGTGATAATGTTAAGGCGAACATTACAAAAATGAAACTTAACCCCCCCTTTTTATATATTTATTATTTCAAAACTTGTTAGATGGTAGTCTATGAAGCACCAATACGGGTACAACTATTGGATACGATACAGTATGATACGCAGATACAATAATTTTCAAAAATTTTAGAATTCGAGTACGACTATATAAATAATAAAGTATTAAATATTTAGAGACCTACATATTTTCAATTTCATAATTTATCTAAATTATCTAAATAATTTATCTAAATTATCTAAATTTCAATCTCTACAATCCACTTTGAAAATAGAAAGCACAGTAGACTAATAGTGCATATCAAATTTATAAAGTCTTGACTGGCTAAAAGAGGAAGAGAGACAGAGCGACTAAATGATGTGAGTTGGTTGGCTGGGTGACACGAGTTGACAAAGCCACAGAGAAGGACGACTGAACAAGCAACAGTGACAAAGCCACAGGCCAAAGTCGAAAGGAAGGATGACGGTAGATGCAAGGTCATTGGGTCAGAATGTTAGAGATAGAGTGATAAGAGCGATGCAACTCAATGTGGGAGAAAGAGTGTGGGATTTGGGAATGAGACAGATTCAATAAAGTAGGGCATTAGATTAAAAAAAAACACACCAAAATTATGCTGTGTTCCTCGTCCAGCTCACATCCGCTTGTGTACCCGTACCTGCCCATAGTCGAATGTATGGACAGAAAAAAAAAGGGAAGCGTCGCATCTAGGTTCAGGATGCATATCCGTGTCAGATATGTGCCCAACATGGACACTGCACCATTTTTTGGCATATTTGTGCTTCCTTGATGGTAGTGGATAGTTTATTAAAAAAAAATAATCATTTAATTTTCATAATTTTAATCTAATTATAAGTCAGTCTCTTAACTTTATTTATTATAATTCAGCTCTTAAAGTTTTGACTTTATTGTAAATCAATCCTTAAATTTTGACTCTTACTATTTAGTCTCTAAAGTTTCAACTTCTTAAATAGTAGTCCCTATATTTTAAAAAATAAAATTATAAAGATTAAAAATATTTTAAACTTTTAATATTTATAATATTTATAAAGATTAAAAGGGTTTAATAATTTAAAATATTGTAATAAATTTTAAAATATTTTGAATCTTTATAATTTTATTTTTTAAAATATAGGGAATATAATATTTTAAAGGTTAAAAATTTAGGGACTAAAGTGCAAAAGACAAAGTTTAAGGACTGATTTATAATTGAGTTAAAATTTCAAGAATTAAATTATAACGAATCAAAATTTAAAATTGAGTTATAATTAAATTAAAACTACAAAGATTAAATCCTTAATTTTCTTTAAAAAAAAGGAGAAGAAAGATAGTAGTGGATGGTAATCTTGTGGTGAAAGCAACATACCGTATAAATATCAAGTAAATGAGCATTAAGCATAAAAGCAAACCTATGCCTTCAACAAGAAATAATCATAAATTAATCGAATATCCGATGAGTAGTATTAAAAATGATTTTATATGCTGTGAGGTCAAATTAAAAATTAAAAAATATTATGAGAATCAGACTGAAATCTTAATCTAGAGTAGTTTTTCTTTTTCATCATTGTGTTCTTGAAGTGCAAGCAAACGATTGGAATCCTTAACTAATTAATGCCTTTTATTAGAAACAGATCAGGTCCTTATGAATAATTATCAACCCAAATTGATATTCTGTTATTCTGTAAAATCCAAAAATAAGGGTTAGGCACTAAATATAACATTTCTTTGATATTTTTAATATTATTGTTTTAGGAAAAATGAAAATTCATTTGAAATATTCCAAATGACAATGAGGTTTCACGAGATGCTATAATTCTTCTCAAGTCCTGATGGACCTTTTTGACATTAACATTTTTTAGTGAAATAACTAAAATACCCCTAATTTAAGATAAAAAAGAAGTAAATATTAGTTATTACTTTAGTTAAATAATAACTATTTTTTTTAGTTATGACTATAATAATGGAACAAGAAATTACAACTTTTCCATGCAAATTACAATTTCAATTAATAAATAATTTGCATAGGAAAAATTATAAACGTTTGTTCTATTTTAATCATTATAAGAAATAAAATAATCATTACTTAAACTAAAATAATGATGAGTATTTACAACATTTATTTTTCAATTAATAAACATTTGTACAAGAGAAATTATAATTGTTTGTTCCATTTTAATCATTATTGAAAAAATAGTAATTGTTTAAATTAAAATAGTCACTAATATTTACTTTTTATTTTAAATTGAGGGTATTTTAGTTATGTCACAAAAATATTAATGTCAATAAGATCTTGAGAAGTAATCATTGTTTAAATCAAGGTAATTATTAATATTTACTTTTTATTTTTAATTGAGAGTATTTTAATCATTTCATCAAAAATATTAACATTAGAAAGGTTTCTAGAGACTTGAGAAGAATTTTAATATTTCACATAATCTCATTACTATTTTCATATTTTAAAAGAATTTTTCTACCATTTTTCCATTTTTTCATAGAAGAATATCAAAAGTATTTTTTCCATTTTCTGTTATAAGGCATAATTCTTTCAAAAATGGACAATTGTTGTTATAGATCACTTGATGACCGATGAGGTACTCTTTTCTTTATAATAATGTATTTCTAACCACATCGCTAAAATTAAAAAGAAATAATTAAAGCATTAATTTTATTTAAAAATATAATAGACTTTTAATTTTTAAAATTTTAAATTTATGTTATTATATTTTCTCTTATAATTAATGACTTTAAGTAAAAATAATATTGTAAAAATATAATTAATATGCTCACCTTATATTAAGAACCATCAATTTTATTTAGACAGTGTCTTGTAATAAGAGTTGGGGGAGCATTAATTTAACTTTTTTTGCATTATCCTTAATTAAATTTATTTATTAATTATAAGAGAAAATATAATGTGAATTTAAATATTTTTTATCTAAATATGAGCAAAATAAAAATTATTATATTTTAAATAAAATTAATAACTTAATATGACGTGTGGTAAGATCATTGTAATTGCTCCGTAGCCTGAAGAGGGAGAATCTTGTAAATCCAACAGTATTGCCATGGCTCGCGTCACATTCTCCAATCCTATTGAATCTTTCACTCATCTATCTTCTCCTGATCTTGTTAATCCTACTTTCCGCAGTCTGATATCATGCTATTTATTAAGAAATACTTCCTCTATACACAAAAATATATAAAATATTTTTAATCAAATCTCATTTTTTAATAAAATAATTATTTACTTTTAAATTAATTTTATTTTTTAATTTATTTTTATTAAATATCTTACAATAAATATAAATTTATTGATTAATAAAGACACTCTAAAAAAATAATAATTATATTTTAAAAAATTAAAAATATTTTATATTTTAAATAATTAATTTTTTAAAAATAATTTATTTTTAAACGAAAAGAATATTTGATTGAAAGAGAAAGGAATCTCCTCCCTTTATTTAATTCAAAAAGTGGAGAAGAGAGGTCTCCCATTTTAAATTATGAGATGAGGAGAAGAGAGCATGATTTTAATGTATAATGATTAATATGTCTCCTTTTTAATTATTATTTTTAATTTTTTTAAATAAATTTAATAATGACAGATTTTTAATAATATATTTAATAATAATAATTATTCTACATATTTATGATTACATGTTAAAAATATTTATAATTATATTTTATTAAAAATAATTTTAATAATATAAAAGTAAAATTATTTATATATAATTATCTTTCTTTCTTTTTCCTTTTAAATTAAAATCAAATAAAATAATATTAAAACCTCCTTTCCTTTCATCCATTAAAATTACTCACCTCCCCCCCCCCCCCCTCCCCTTTCAAACTAAATAGATCCTGAAAACAAAACGAAATAAAACAAAACAAATTGGTTCCACAAATTGCCGACGAACTAAACCGTACTAGACATTCCCTTCTGAATTTGACCTCTGGAATTCTGAGAACTTCGTCCCTGAAACTTTGTCGGATGCAGAGGCTTTGAATTGTAGTCAAGCCAATGGAGGACAAGAACGATGACGATCGAAGAAACAAACATGGGAATCGGCCCAAAAAACCAGAGCAACAATTAAGAGCGAAATAGAGAGCTCGAAGACCCAGCGACCAGAACTCAGTTCCTCTTATCACTGCATTTTCTATACTGCTCACTGGTACTGGTAAGTCCAGATCTGGTGTGCATATGAGGTAATTTGCATGAACGAAGTGTCTGGTTGATTGAACGAAGCACGAGAAAGCAAGGAGGAAGCAGGTTAGTAGACATATGTACTTGATGGAGATTGTGATTGATCTTGTGTCTCCATAGATCAATTCACCCTGGAACACGGTGTTCTTACTGTTGGCTATCCAGGCTCCGATTAGAGAACAGATGGTCAAGGAAATTGTGGCTAAGAAAGTTGCAACCGAGATATTTGATGAAATTACTGACAGAGCATTGCGAACATCCCTATTTTGCATCTGATCATCATCATATAAAAGAATGAGAGATATGACCTAGTAGCTAGCCCATGGCTTTAATGATTGTGAAGACTGAAAGCTTAATAAAACAGAAAATTAATCTTAAACCTATGAGATGATAAGGCTAAGCTGAGATTATCACTTATGAATAGGTATACATGCATCTATCCCACTCCGCTGTTGCTGAGTAGCTCATTTGTTGTGCATCAAAGATGATTGGCTATCCCCGAATAAAGACGGACTCTCATTTTTATTGTTATAACATGTTTAGTTTCATGTTAGAAACTTCTAAAACCATGTTCTGTTTCATGGTATTGGCGGTTTCTCATGTTAAACCCAATATACACTTGATCTTTTGTCAGAATTCAAAATCAAGATGCAATAGATGAATGAGCCGTGTGGTAGAGAAGTCGAAGTCAACAAAATTGTTCCATATAATACAATGTGTCAAACTGTATTTAAACATGGCATTATGGTTATCTATATTGTGTTGTGTCTGATACTGGAAATCTGGGCGTATTTATTATGCAGAAAACTTGGGGGAAGCAATAAAAGTGGAGGAGGAAGAAGGAGGACTTGCCTGCATGATTCTATGAACCCATTCTCTTTTATCATTGTTCTCAAAGCCCATGCTTGTGGTGTGAGGACGATAAAGGTACCTGTAAAGGAGAAATAAGTGGTAACCAAACATGATGAGCAATCCGCAAGGGACCAAAACTAGATCAAGGTTCTCCTTCTTGAAATGAAATTCCATGTTATTGTCCCTTTCCAGGAGTTCCAATGAAATAAAGATATATATATAAGACAGAGGCTGATTAATTAATTGGGAATTTACTCATGTTAATTATGTATATTTCTTTTGTAAACTTGGTGGTTCCAAAGTGGAATATACCTTCATCTTTGGTCCGTATAATATTTAATTTGATGAAGGCATCTTTGACCTTTCGTAATTGGGCAACCTAGTGCAAACTTCTTGCACTAACCAACTCTGATGTATGTGTGTGAACTCATGGAATTATTGATTGGACAGCTAAAGGAAGAAATTAAGAGTTAAGCAAGTGATTTTGGTTGGAAAGTTGACTTTTCAAAAAAGAGACAGCTTGAATAAAAGGTTTTTTTAAAATAATTTGGTTATTATCCTAGCATTATCCTTGAGCTTTTGAGCATTTTCAAAAGTCTCAAACCTTATAAGAGGAACCAGTTCACTGTCTGCTCTGACTTTTTTGAAACTCTGACATTTATTCAAAGTAACTTCACCCCAAACCAAGCCACAGGAATTAGATGATTACTTTTAACCAAGTGTTTAGAGAAATCAATAACTACATTGATTTGCTAGCTCATCACGCACCAAACGATATTTCCTGTGATATCAATGTGGAATAAGCGGCACTCTACTTTTTTTTTTTTTTAAAATTGATCAAAACATGTGCCATTATATTTAAAATACCACATGGTTTGCCATTCTAACTAGTTATATCATTTCAAAGAAAAAAATTTCTCAGCTTTGGCTAACAATCAGTAACTGATAATGCTATTATAAGTTATGTCCATTTGAACTTGTTAACCAATAAAAAAAAAATCTTTCATCTTGCAATATTTGTAAAGTAGGTACTACCTGAAATTTTGATGTTAACAAGTCTCAAGAAGACATCTGGTTTATCTTTGGTAAGGAGCTGCTAGTGGTAGAGCTAAGACCCGGCTTAGGGGTGGAATGTAATTTAAAAATAAAATTTAATTATTAAGAATTTAATTTGATATCTTATAGTTGTGAATTTCATGTTCTAAAAAATTAAATATGAAATAAAATAAATAAATAATTTTAAAAAATTGTTGTGAAATTTTTTTATTTGATATATGAAAAATAAAATAAATAAAGGCATATTCAATATAAAGTTAGTGAGTTTACAATTTATGTTTAAAATTTCTTAGGTTATAACTTATAACACAATCTATATATACAGTATAAAAAACCTATTTAAATCAAATATACTTAGATATAAATCAAGGTTAGGTGATCTCAAATAATTATAAGTGTAAGCTATGCAATCAAAAATGGGAGATGTAAAGGCTTAAATCTTACACAATTTAATTGTAAAATGAAATATTTTCATTTTTAATATAAAATAAAGAGTATTTTATAAAGTGAATAGAAAGGATGTGATTATTGAAAGTTAAGTGGCTGTATTGTCAAACATAGTTAAGTTGCACAATTCCAAATTTCTTCCTTAATGGCATGACTTTTAACATTGTAAACTCTTTCAAGTTTTTCTCTCCTTCATCACATAGGTTGAATTACCCCCAATTGAGAGCAGTGCTATTAAAATTGGATCAAACTAGTTGGTTCAACTAGTAATCGATCTCAAATCTGGTCCAGTTACTACAAAAAATTCAAAAATTTAAGAACCAATTGAATCAGGCTAAAATTGGTAAAACATTGAACCAGACATATTATTCTTTAATTTTAATTCTTATTTCTAAATTACTCTCTCTATCCCTTATATATATGGTGTTTTCTAAAAGTTTTTTTTGTCCCTTAGTATAAGGGGTGACAATGATATTTTTGAGTAATTAAACAATTTTACTCTTATCTTGAAAAATAGAATAGATCATTAATTGTATATTTTTCTTACTACTATCATGATATTATTAGGGTAAAACTGAAAAATCATTGTATTTTTATATAAGTTCAACTAAATAGCAAACATTTATTGGTTTGCGAAATTCGGTAAGAAATGCCTTGTATATAGAGATAGAGCGAGTATACTTTATATATATATATATACCTAATAAGTATTATAAAATAAAAAAAATGCAAGAAACATGTATAAATTATGTATATATGAATATATTCTAAAGTTATAAATTATAAATTATGAAATAACTATATACATTTTTGATAAAATGATGAAATATTGACGGATATTATTTCTCTTTATTGTATATTATTTTTTTTAAAATTTAAAATTTATTTTGTTACTATATATGATTTTTTTTTATTTAAACATATAATATTTAAAATATATTAATTTATTTATAATCGATTGAACTATATTTAAATAATGGTTTGACTGTTGAACCATAAACCAATATTTCAATTGATTTAATGTCTCATGTAGCTTTAATAACATTGATTGAGGGGGGTGCATCTACCTCCTAGGTTCAATGTAGCCTTGCCAGTGAAAGCTCTAGTCATCTACGATCAACAGGATGGGGTATCTGAAGTAAGAAAAAGATCTTTGACTACAAAATTTGCTTATGATCTATTTCCCTTTGGAATTCAATCTTACAAACAATTAGTTGGAAAAAAGAAGTAATTTTTCTTATTTCTACAACTCTTGCCCTCGCTCTTCCATTTATGGATCCTCGCTTGCAGTGCCGATTACCATCTTCCCCCGTAAAGATCTACGCATTAGTTGTCATCGGTGACTCCATTTTCAAATTCCAACAATTGAAAAACAAAGCCGTGTAATCAATTTAGATATCTTCTTTCTTCAATTCTTCCATCACTTTACTTTTTCTATTCCCACGTGTTTGTGTTTCTCTTTCCCCGATCCCTTAATTCCAGGTGCCTTCATCAGGAATTTTAATTTCTTTATGACTTTTTTATGTATTTTTACCTTTTTATATTAAAATTGTGTTTGAATTAAAAAAACCATTAGTAAATGCAAACTTTGAAAAAAAAATTAAAGAGGAATAAATGGATGTTAGTTATCTTGCCACCTAGGCATTTGTGACAAAAAAAAAAAGAACATTTGTTAGCCCGTTATTACATAGGTCAACTAACAGTTGAAAATAAATCAATTAGGCATTAACAGGTTAACATGATGCTATATGTTAAAAAAAGTGTTAGTTGCTCAATATTATTACATTTTAAGTTATTACTTGCTTCTTTAAGAATACTTAAGGACAAAATGTCCTTAGAGACTTGAAAACTTTTCCATGTAGATATGCGACATGCCATTGTTTTTTGGGCCCAATTTATGGGTTTGACATCGTTTTCGTTAGATTACTCCATTTTTTAATATTTGAGAGACATTACACTTGTAGCTATGGATCCTAACAACGTATTGAAAGTTGGATTTCTCATTGAACTAATTATACTATATTAATTTAAGGGTCAATAGTTAAAATTACATACAAACCATAGTTAAACAAGTAATAAATAAAAGATTTCATTTATTTATAATATTTTAAAAGCCAAATTGAATATCAAATCTAAAAGGCTTGAGGGTCACATTTTTATGATTTAATCATTTATACTAATAGTTAAACTAGTGATGTAATAATTAAATGAAAAATAATATGAAATGTATATTATCTATATATAAATAAAAAATAAATACATAATATATCTAGTTGTTAATAAAGTAACGCAACATGATCATAAATAAAAAATATTATAAAGTATAATTTCAAAGCGTGTTAGATATAGGTGATGCGAAATCATATTTTATATATGCGCATGGTTAAAAAATAAAGTTAGTTTTAAGTATAGTCAAATTTTTAATTTTTTTGTTATTTTGAAAACTTTTAGCCTTTTTTTAATTATATTTAGACTCATTTGATTTTCTAAAAAGCCATTATAGCTTTTGGTTCAGCTATGAAAATGATTTTTTGGTTTAAACCAAACTATTAACAACTCTATTCGGCAATTCAACTAGCTTGAATGTCCAATTTGATTAGATTATTTAAACATTACATTAAGCTAGTTAAGACATTAATCAGTTTATCAATTCAATCAATCAAATTAACTTGAATTTCAATAATATAATACTAACGACTTTAAGTCCTTATGAATGATATTTTAATAACAAAAATGACCATCGATCCTAAAGAGTTAAAAAAAATATAAAAAAATGATCTCAAAGGAGATAAGAAAAATTGTGAATTACTAAATCATTAGAAAGGACAGCATACCCGTAAGTTTCACTGATAATATTCTATGTGGATGAATTGAATTAGTTACTCGAAGCCGATTCTTGCTTGAGTCATAGCAAACGCACCAGACAAGGGAAGGGATAGAAAAGTTTTTATGTTGTTCTGAAAATGTATAGAATGAGAGAGTAAGAAGGTTTTCCAATGACCTTTATCTAATAAAAGGGATTTTTTTTTCTTTTCCCCAACAATGATAGATTCATCAATCACTATGCTAGTGTGGCAGATTTCATAACTCGGGAGAGGCAATGGGATTCGAATAAATGGCATAATATCTTGCCTAGCTGGGTGACACAGGAAATATTGAAACATTCTGTTCCTATTGGTGATGTGGAAGATTCCTTCAGGTGGGTGAATGCTTCTAATGGTATCTTCTCTATCAAAGCTCCTTATGAGTTTCTAGGAAACTGGGTTCAAAATGACACTAATACTTTCTAGGGACAACTTTGGAAATGGAGGATTCTAGAAAAGCAAAAAAATTTCCTCAGGCAAAATTAGTCATTTTAACTAACTCTTATAGAGCTAAGAGAAGTTTGTCTCAACATGATGCCTGCCCTTATGATTATAACAAAATTGAGAACATTAGACACCTTTTGAGAGATTGCAAAATTTCTCGAGAGGTTTGGTTGCAATGCATTAATCCTAACTTTGTACAAAAGTTTTTTTGGTTTATTTTTGCAGGAATGGTTAAAGTGGAATGCAAAATCTGAAGTTGTCAGGGGTGAATTCAAAACGTGGCCTTAGAAAAAAGTCTTTAGTTTTATATGCTGGAGACTTTGAAAAGCAAGGTGCAACTACATGTTTCAAGGGACGCTTTCATGGACAATAGAGATCATTTAGACATGCAAACATGGGCTCATGAAGGAGAAGAGGCACAAGCACAAAGATGAAAAATATACTGTCCGGAATCGTGCGAACAAGATTCATGGACGCCATGCCCTTAGGCTGCCTTTAACTAGACGTTGATGGTTCAGTCAACATACAAGGTAGATCGGCATGTGTAGGAGTGATAAGAAACTCACAAGGGCAATGGATAGTCATTTTCCAGCAATGCATGGGCCAAGGATCTTCTACTGAAGCTGAATTAGAAAGCATTAGATCAGGTTTGAAAGTATGCCAAGATCTTAATCTTGAGAAAGTCCAAATGCATATTAATGAATTGGAAGGGATACATATGATTTTAAGAGAATATCATCTAAATCATCCCTTTATGCCGATTGTGTACCCCAAGGGAGTACCTCTGTTTTTTAAAAGAAGTAGAAATCATCTTCTCAAAGAGAGAATCGATCAAGTGTGCTAATTTATTGGCCAAGAATGCACACAGGGAGAATCAAGGTTTTTGGACATTAAATGATGTCCTTAAGGTGTGTCAGGGAATTGTTAATCAGGAAAAGAGCTTATGCTCTAGTGGTTAGTTTTGTGTAGTTTCCCTCTTTTCAAGCTTCAACTTGCCTTCTGTGTTAAAAAAAAAAAAAGGAAAATTGCATTCAAGTGCCCAGAGACACATTTGAAAACCCAGCTAATATTAATACTCAAATAAATTCTTGAGTTTAAATTTGGGCATGACACCAAGAGTGGTAACTAACCCAAATAATTCAAAGTCATTGTCTCAAATTATAAACACAAAGTCAACTTTCTTTGTAGATCGACGAGCACTGACAGTCTGACACACTCTTTTGCCACGCTATCTTTGACGTCACGGAGCCGTTAATGTGGTATTTTCTTCCGAAAAATCAGATCTATATTCTAAATCCAAATGCATTACTATTACTCACTGATTGAATCTTTCATTCATCTCTCTTCACTCCTCTCTACCCTTAAAATTACAAGTACTACTTTCCCCAATCAAATACCATCTTATTCTTCAACGAGAAATCAAATGGATTTTACAAATTTGCTAATGAACTGTACCATACTAGACATTCCCAACTGAATAGTCGGATGCAGAGTTCTTGAGTTATAGTCAAGCCAGTGGATAACAACTCAACAAGCACCAAGATGACCGATGAAACAAACATGGGAATCGGCCCGAGAAACCATAGCAACAAATTGGGAGCGAAATAGAGAGCTTAGAGATCCAGTGGCCAGAACTAAGCTCCCCTTATGACTGCTTGTTCTACAATGGCCCTCATTAATACTTTTTCTTCATTGCTCACTGGTACTGGCAGGTCAGGATCTGGGGTGCATATGAGGTAATTTGCAAAAACAAAGTGTCTAGTTGATTGAACGAAGCACAAGAATGCGAGGAAGCAGGTTAGTAAGCATATGTACTTGATGGAGATGGTGATCCATTTTGTGTCTCCATAGAATAATTCACTCTGGAACACGTTATTTTTACTCTTGGCTATCTATGCTCTGATTAGAGAATAGATGGTTAAAGAAACTGTGGCTAAGAAAGTTGCAGATGATATGTTTGATGAAAGTACTGAGAGAGCATTCTTAACATCCCTGTTTTGCATTTGATCATCACCATGTACAAGAATGGGAGATATGACCTAGTAGCTAGTGCATGACCTAAATTATGGTTAGGACTGAATGGATAAAATAAAAAGTAATAACAGAAAATTAAACTTAAAGCTGTGAGATGTTTTATTAGGTTAAGCTTAGCTTAGCCTTCCCATGAATAGGAATACATGCATCAGTCTGATTTCTTTGTTGTGTAGCATATTTGTTGCATGTGAATGAAGAGGTACTCTCCTTTTTTCTTAGAATTCGAAATAAAGATACAACAGACAAGCTGTACATGTACATGAGGCATCCATACATGAGGAACAAAACTATCCTATGCAAGACAAAATTTTTATATTTAAACATGATATTACTCATCCATATTGTGTTATGTACTTATGTCTGATACTATATATATCTAGGACTGGGATACATTATAATGCAGAAAACTAAAGGGAAGCAATGAGAATGAAGGAAGAAGGAGGACTTGCCTGCATGATTCTTTGAACCCATATTTTTCTGTTATCGTTCTCAAAGCCCATGCTTGTAGTGATAGGACGATGAAGATACCTGTGAAGGAGAAAGAGGTCGTAACCAAACATGATGAGCAATCCACAAGGGACCAGAACCAGATCAAGGTACTCCTTCTGGGAAGGGAACTCCATGATTATTTTTCCTTTCAAGGAGATCCAATGAAAGATAGATAGAGGATGCTTATATTGCTTCATTTTATAAACTTGGTCCCTTAAAACAGGCATCTAACTTCATCTTTGGTACATAATATTTAATTTGATAGAAGCATCTTTGACCTTCGTGATTGGAAAAATCATGTACAACTTGCTGTACTTGCAACTCATATATTTTGAACTCATGGAATTAGGATTGTACAACTAAAACTGTTGTATAAGGAAGAAATAAAGAGCTAAACAACTGATTTTGGTGGGAAACATGACTTTTGAGAGAGGAGACAGCTAACCCGAGCCATGAGATATACTCATGCCGATGGAATTGTAAGGCTGTAGGTTCAAACTGTCAAATTTCTTTCCTATTTCTATAGATTCTCCATTCTTACGATAAGTAACCAATTAAAATTAGGGAGTGATATGGACTTTTTCACTTACCCTTAATTTGAACGGGGAGAAAAATAGAGAGAGAAAATATGAGGAAAAGCTCCTAAAAATAGTAAAAAAGAAAATTACTATTTTAAGAAAATTTCTCTTTTTCTTATTTTATTTTTACCTTTTTTCTTATGCAAATCAAAATTTAAATAAGTAATTGGAGTTTCAATCTTAGTTATTGTATATATAATAATTTAATTGAGAAAGATCCACTCTTTGCCCTCAATACCTCAAGGGAATCATGGGCAGAGTTTACTCTTTGTCCTCATTAAAAAAATCTTATAATAATGAGAGATATAGACATATGGTGGAACCTACTGCATGTGAATCTACTATCACACATTTATCTCACTTTACAAGCTCTTGATGGATATTTACCATTCACTTTAGATGAAGTCATCTTAATAAATTTAAATTAGCCTTGGAGGATATTTACCACTCACTTTACCCTGCTTTAGATATGTTTTGTTTTAAATTTATCTCAATCCCTTAGGAATTACTTATATTTTTAGAAAAAAATAATTATAATAATTTATTAATTCTGTATTTTAAAAATATCAAAACTTTTACTTTAAATATTTTTAATTTATCTATTTTCACAGAAAAAAGTATGCGTTCAATTATAATTTGAAAACATCATTATTTGAAAAAAAAGTATGTGTTCAACTTAGAATTTTATTATGATGTACCTAATGATTGACAACTTAAAATTGTACGGCAAATGGATATAGAGCCGGTAATTTGGGCCAAGCCCGATGGGCTAACTCGAATTGGTCCAAAAAATTTTAGGACCGGGCTTAAAAAAAAGATGTGCCCGAATAGGCCCGAAAAATTCGGGCCAAGCCCGATCGGATTCGGGCTTGGCCCAATACCCCAAATAAAAAAATTATATTTTTAAAAAATATATATAATATAATAAATATTAATTAATTCTTTAAGTTTTAGATCATTTTATACTAAAATACCATATATTTGAGTCCGAGACATCATTTAAGTATTAAAAAAATATATTTTATATTTTTTATAAAATAAAATAATTAATTTCAAAGTAAAAAAATAATTAAAAATAATTTTAAAAATTAAATTCGGGTATTTGGGCCGCCCGAAGCTCGAAGGAATTCGGGCCGGGCTTGGCTATTCGGGTTTTTCGATGAGTAGGGCTTGTTCGGGTTTGGACTTTTTCGAGTCGGGCTTATTCGAAAAGCTCGACCCACCTGAATTCCCAACTCTAGCTTGATCCCCATCCGCGACAAGCGGATCAATTGATTGGTCCTAATTATCCGGTTGAGTAGTGATACCTCTAATAGGTGGAGTCTACAACAAGGACTTCAAACCCTGAATCTGAACCAGTCAACCGGAGTCCTAGTCTCCTAGATATACCTTCGTTCAAGGTTTTGATTCGAAGTTCAATAATATAAAACAATGTATACGTAGCAAGCAATGTCCAAGTGGCACCACATGCTTGCTACTAAGGGTCAAGGCTTTGTTGCGAATATTACAAAAAATGATTTTGATAACGTTTAAAATTTTAATTTCATAATATTTATATTACAAGTGTTAAAGCTATTTAAAGTTTCAGGTCTAGTCACACTAGCAGTGCCACTTCCTTGAGAAAACGCTACTTCTCAAATTATTTAAAAAAATGTGTTAAAGAACATTTTTATCTATTAACTATTCATTTAGAAATATCTTGTTTTCTAAACTATTTCTAAACTTTAATGTGTTGCAATTTTTTTTTTAACTTTTAAAAATGGTGCATTAGGTATTTTGCTATTAAAAAAATTAACTTTGATTATTATTTAATTCAAAAAGTTCCCAACAAGACATCAAAAATTACAAAAAAGACTCATAAAATTACAAATAAGTATCCTATAAAAAATTAATTACAATGCATCAATTTCAAAAGTTAAAGGAAAAATTATATTGCATGAAAGTTTAGGATATTAGATGTTCATAAGTAAATACTAGAGAGGCAAAAATATCTTTTAACCTTTTAAAAATAAACGACAAGGAGGAAACACCGCCTCAAATTATTTTTAAAAATATTGTATGTTATGCAATCAATCTAAACCATTGTGTGTTTAACCAGATTGTCATGCTTGAAGATATTGCAACCTGATGTTAGAATTATACTCTCTTTGGTCCCTTTTATAAATCATTTTTAATTAATTTATGTAAATCAACAAAGTTCGTTAAAATTAGGAATGGTCTTAAAATTATCCAATATTTTCAAAAAATACTCCTGATTCTTAGTTATCACTTGTAATCATTCTGATCCCCCACCATCATTGCTCAACAACATATATATATATATATATATATCAAGGGCACTGTTAACAAAATATTAAATGCTTCATAAATTTTATGAAATTACTTATAAATAGATACATTAAAGTTTCTTGGAAAAAATGGTCACACGAGTTTTCAGCTTTGAAGCTACAATAGATTAATTGGGGAGTGGGGACTCCATACAGAGATTGAGACATTGATATCTGTCACGGCCCAGAATGTGGATCGAGATGGTTTGGGCCCTGATCCATGAGAAACTAAGGTAATTGGAATAAGGAGAAGCAGATGCACACGAAGGCCCTCATGGAAGTTGCGTGACTTGGACATTGAGGGTGCTTAAAAGGCAATTGCACAGGCGGGGAGAGATGGCTAATGATTTTGGCGTCTGGTTGCTGAGCACCGCGGTATTCATCGTAAAAAAACATCTGAGCCATCCAATTTTTTAATTTTAAATTTAATTTTATAAAAAAAATTTTAGTTTTTTAATTTTAATTTTATAAAAATAAAATTAAAAATTTTTTGGTAAATATTTTCATCATCAATTTGACAGTATTAATTCAATTTGACACTCTACGTGATTCAATTTAATATTATAATTTTTATAAACTGATTATCTAGATAAACTCTGAATAAGACAGATTTAATATTAAATTTTTTTAATAAGTTTTTATTTTAATAAATATAAAATAAACATAAAAAATTTAAATCTAAGCCTTGCAAATAAAAATTTAATCTTGAATCTGGACTGTTCAAAGTACATCTAGATAGTTAATTTATAAAAATTATAATATTAAATTGAATCATCCAAATTTAATCAGTATTGTCCAGATTGATGATAAATATATCTAAATTGATGATAAATATATTTATCAAAAAAATTTATAAATTTTATTTTTATAAAATTAAAATTAAAATTGAAAAAATCTGGACCATCCAGATAAAAATCTGGATGGCCCAGATGTTTTTTTATGATGAGTACCGCGGTGCTTGCTGAGCACCGAAACCAGACGCCCTGGGCATATTTATGTTATCATGCTTTTCTGCATTTTTCATTACATTCATCTTTTTCGCATTGCATATGAGTTGTAATTAGTGACCTCCCAATATTATACAACTCGATTTCCCTTGATATCATTATTTGCTGCATTGGAATTGTGACTGTGACATTTTTGGTGCTTTCATTGACAGCAAGAATGGTTGAAAACACTCATCTCGAGGAATTGCTAGTAGACATGAAGAAGACACAGGAGTTCATGGCGACGACGAATTAACAGTTCATGAAGATAGAGGGCTACTTGGCGGTGGTGATGAAATCTGGAAGGCTTAAACCGTCGGTCAGAGTCACCATCATCTGAGTCGAGTGGACAAGAGTTTCAACGGGTGGTGCCATTCAATGTTACTCTATTGAAACAGGTAAAGGTTGACCTACCTCGCTTTGATGGCACTGAACTATTAGATATTGGTTGTTTCATGCAGAACAGTATTTCCAGATTTATGAGACTACTGAGGCTCAAAAACTTGTGATGGCTGGAATTCATATGGAAGGCACGGTTGTGACGTGGCTTCAAATGATGAAGAAGGCTAACCAGATTCCAACCTAGTCTGCACTATCATAAGCCGTGGAAGCTCATTTTGGTCCTACCCAATTCGATGTGTGAGAGTACAATTGTCTAAGATGACTTAGCAAGGTTCTAATGAATATGTGAAAAGTTTTCATGGCACTAGCCAATCGATTAAAGGAGATGATCGAGGGATCTCTTATCGATTGCTTTGTAGGTGGTCTTAAGGCAAAGTCCGATGGGATGTAGTGGCTTAGGCGTCAATGCCATTGTTAAAGGCTGTAGCATTAGATCAACTAGATGTAGACCATAAGGCTCTAACTAGTGTGCCAACATGAGTATGAACTACTTTCTCACTGTTGCCTACAATTACCATTGTAAAGAACATATCTGGCCCTTTGAGTGCATTGTCTGGTGCCTCCAGCAGCCAGAGTAACTTACCACTATTACTTTCGACGCCAAATCGACCCCCAATCCACCGAATAACTCCAACATAGATGTAAATCCCACTGGAAAAAGGCTTGTGCTACTTCAATGATGACTTGTTCTCTCCCTCACACTAGTGCGCCAAGAAGCAATTAATGATGTTGACAAGGGACAAAGAGGTTGAAGAACCATTTGAAACAGAGCAAGAGGGAACAGGTAGAGCAATCAACCTTTCACCATTCGTCCTTATATGCATTTAGAGGTTTATCAGGTAGCTACTATATATGTTTTCATGGTCAGATACATGGCACAGATGTTCAAGTTCTCTTAGACGGAGGTAGTTCTGATAATTTTGTGCACCCCTAAATTGTTCAGCATTTAGGAAATATGGTTCAGTCATTTCCAATCTTAAAGGTTTTGGTGGGCATGGGTCAATTGATGATGAGTCAAGGTTTTATTGCTAAACTTCCTCTGTGACGGGCATACTCTATCCATTCCAGTCCTTGTATTACCAGTGGTAGGGTTGACGTTGTGATCTACGGATCTTGGCTGGAGATTTTAGAGCCACATGTGTCTGATTATCTAGGATCCGTTTTATGGAGATTCATTACACTTACAGAGTTTAGGTCCACTTTAATAAGCCCAGCCTAATTGCATCACATGTCACATATCGTGCAAGTTGAGTCTTTAGCAGAATTATTTTTAATTCATTAATTGGGTCCAACTAGAACCGGGACCCACTTTGTCAAAAACAAGGAATGGGCCTACATGGGACTTCCTGAAAGACATGGCTGAAGATATGGCTTGTTTATTATACGAATTTGATGTTGTGTTTGAAAGCCCTCAATGTCAACTACCAGATAGAAGCCATATGCATAAGATACAACTCCTAATAGACCAAGGACCTTTTAAGGTGAGGCCTTATAGGTACCCACATAGTCAAAAATCTGAGATAGAGAAGATTGTTGTAAAGTTACTATCTCAAGGATTGATATGCCCTGCTCCAGCTACTTCTCAGCGCCAGTTTTATTAGTCAAAAAGAAAGATGGGACATGGTGATTCTATGTAGATTATCAGGCATTAAACACTCTGACTATCAAAGATGCTTTTCTAATGCCCATGGTAGATGAATTATTGGATGAGTTGCAAAGGTTTGTGTATTTTTCTATGTTGGACATACGTTCAGGTCATCATTAGATCCTTATGAATGTAGAAGATATCGAGAAGATGGCATTTCAAACCCATCAAGGTTTATATGAGTAGTTGGTAATGCCATTCAGATTATCTAATGCTTCCACAACATTTCATTCATTGATGAACCCTATTTTCATTCTTATTTGCTTCAGTTTGTTCCGATATTTTTTGATGATATTCTTATCAATAGCCCTACTTGGGAAGCTCATTTATCTCATGTAGAGCAGGTGCTCAGAAAAATAGAAAAGCATAAATAATATGAGAAAATGTCAAAGTGTGCATTTGGCAGAACGTGAATAGATTACCGTGGGCATATAGTGTCGACTGTTAGGGTGGAAGCTGACCAAGCTAAGATAAAAGTGATAAAAGAATGGCCCATACCTAGAAATGTATCTCAACTTCGAGGGTTTCTTAGTATTACAAGGTATTACAAGAGATTCATGCATAAATATGGACCCTTTTTACAAGTCTACGGAAGCACAGAGTGCTTTTGAATCTCTTAAGAAGGTGCTAACTAAGACCCCTGTCTTTGCCTGTCGTGCTAGAAATTGACGCTTCTAGCATGGGAATAGGTGTTGTGCTTAGCGAAAGTGGGCATCCCGTTGCCTACTTCTCCAAGAAGTTGTCTCACAAGATGCAATCTCAGTCGTGGTGAAATTCCATCACTACCTCTTTTGGCCACCCATTTGTTATAAGAACAAATCATGTGAGTTTACGCATCTTTCTTGATCAGAGAATCCACACACCAGCTCAAGAAGCATGCTCGCCTAAACTCATAGGGTATCGTTTTTCTATAGAATATTAATTGGGGCACCGCAACCAAGCTGCTAATGCATTGTCCTGAGTGGCTCTCTTTACTTTCTCACAATTACAGCACACTTTCTTGGATGAAGTGTACAAGCAGGAGTGAGGCTCTACTCAAATACAAAAGCTACGAGACAGGCTAGTGAATGGTGAACAAGTGGATCAAGCTTTCATTATTGATCGATCTGATGTACTTCGGCAGGGCAGGCTAGTTATTCCTGAGGATAACTCTGAGTTGATCAAGAAGATTCTCTAAGAGTTTCATGCTTCAGCTATACGAGGCCATGCTAGGTATTTTCGTACCTATAAACGCATTGCTTCAGCATTTTATCGGTCGAAAATGCATGTTCGTGATTTTGTACGTGCATGTGGGGTCTGTCAACAAGCTAAAATAGGTCAACTGAAACCTGCTGGACTATTAACTCCATTACCAATACCCCAACTCATATGGTAAGACATAGCTAGGGACTTTATCATAGCTTTACTAGTCAAATGTGGGTACTCGATCATTTTTGTGGTGGTTGATCAACTTTCCAAATATGCCCATTTTATTCCCCTGTAATATGATCATACGAGCCAAACTGTTGCTGCAGCATTTTTACAACAAATTGTCAAGTTGCATGGGTTCCCCGAGATGATTGTGTCTGATAGAGATCAAGCTTTCACTAGCTTATTCTGGCAGCACTTGGCCCGACTTTAGGGCACACATCTGATGATGAGTTTAGCATATCACCTTCAAATGGATGGTTAGTCCAAAGCCGTTAAGTGGTGTTTAGAAATGTACCTTCACTGTTTTGCGTACAAGCATCCATGTATCAGTGGTTAGATTATTTAACATGGGTAGAGTATTGGTACAATACTTCGTATCACTCTTGACCCACCTCCTTTCTTACGCCATTCCTCAACAGAGGATACACTAGTCGATCTGCATCAGCAACTGCAAGAGAGAGATGCGTTATTGGAGACTCTTAAGGTTTCCTGGTTAAGGCTCAAAACAGGATTAAGTGCTTTGTAGACTTATGGCGTATTGAAGTTCATTTTATAGTGAATGATCTACTTTATGTCAAGCTTCAACCATATCAGCAGCTTCTGTTCAACTTAGAAAATTTCACAAGTTGGGCATGCAATATTTTGGGCATGTGATATTTTGGATCCTTCAAGATTATAGCAAAGATTGGTCCCGTCGTGTACAAGTTGGCTTTGCTTGAGGTAGCTCGAATTCACCTCGTCTTCCACGTAATATTACTAAAGCAATGTTATGGAACTGAGCCTGCAACTGCACTGCCTTTACCTTCATTTATAATGCCTGAAGGACCTGTGGTACTGGGAGTCAAAGATGCTCGTTAGGTCACGCAACATAGTAAATCTATCCTCCAAGTTTTGATCATGTGGTATGGTGGCTTTCCTTCTTTTTGGGAATTGCACATCGAGGTTGCTACTATGTATCCCCACCTTAACCTTGATTAGGGAAAGGTTAATCTCCAACAGGTGGGCAGTGTCATGGCCCAGTATGTGGATCGAGATGGTTTGGGCCCTGATCCAAGAGATAATGATTAGGTAATTGGACCAAGGAGAAACGGACATATATGAAGGCCCTTGTGGAAGTTGCGTGGCCTGGACATGCAGGATGCTTAAAAAGGAAATTTCATGAGAGGAGACAGATGGCTAATGATTTTGAGGATCTTCTCTGACATTCTCTCTCTTCTTCCTGGGCATATTTATGTTATTATACTTTTCTGAATTTCTGTTACGTGTTCATCTTTTTCGCATTGCGTATGAGTTGTAATCAGTGACCCCCCAATAATATACAACTCGATTTCCCTTGATATCATTATTTGCTGCATTTGAATTGTGACTATGACAATATCCCACTTTCTTTTTAGCAAAGTTCAAAAGTAAGGAGGACACAAAGAGTTTACTCTTACTAGGAGATGGTGATTGGTGACGAATCATTATCTAGCCTTTCAATATGGAAGGAGTATTTTTACTTGATGAGGATTTGATAGTGATTGGGAGCATCACAGCATGGATTAGGATCCCCCAAATTGCCTATAAGGACTAATATGATAAAGGCATGCTATATGAGTTACTATGGCAACACCCCAATGGGACTTTGGCTTATTATGTGGCAATTTCTTGTAGTTTGAAACTTTGATGGGGATCATTACCCTTCATTGACTTTGGGTTAGAGTTATGAGGGACAAATATAATTGCACTATTCTTACTATTCCTATGATTTACAAACCCGTGTCTTCATCCTACTCTTTGACAACTATCTTACTACTTGTATGAAGTGCTCTTATAGGTTTTCACCTACTGAAAAGCTTCTGTTAAAGAGCACTCTAGTAGGTCTCTATTTTTACTTTTTTCCTTTTTAAATAACAGCTAAGCAAATTGGTAGATTGATGAGTTTGCATTTTCCTTGAATATATACATTAGATCATTAGAATACGACAAATTTGTGTCTCTCTTTCATTAAAGTGATTGAACACTATGAGTTTTAAAATTAAAGAAATTAATAAATCCATTAATTAAGAGCTGAATCATCAATATCAAATATAATCTTCGATAAAAGACCACAAACCAAATATAGGTATTATCTTGTGGTGACTGAATCGTTTGTCAAACAAGTGCTTAAAAAATAGTTAGACTTCCCGAAAATTGTGTAAAACAAAACAAACAATTCATTATAAACTTTTTGAGAAGTTTACTTCTTGGAAAGTTAACTTCTCCATCGAAAAAATTCAGTAAATTGAACCAAGCGACAAAATATGAAAAGTTATTATCTAAGAGTTGAATCATCTATATCAAATATAAAATTTCTAACAAATTACATCACTCACGTGCATTAAGCAAGAAAATTCTTTCTCTAGTCTCGGTTCATTAATACACAGATAGATCATCTATGTAAGTTCAAGGATAAACTTCAATAAGAGACCTTAAACCAAATAAAGGTGTTATGTTATAGTGATTAAATCCAGCTTGGATGAAGAGATTCTTCCATTCATTTTCATCTCTTTCTTTTCCATTGACCAAAGACATCATCATCATATCGAAATAAAGCTTTGCTTCTGTGATTTCGTGCTTATCCTTCTCTTTATTGATTACTATCTCTATTATTATTAATTTTCCTTTGCTTGAATTTGCAATGGCTTCTCTGCACTTCTTCAATACCTTCTGGCACTCTTCATCACTTAATGTGTGCAAAACCAGCTGCATGCTAGTTGATCGTCTTTTAGATTTTCATCACTCATATTTGTTTTATAAAACAAAACTCATAAAGCATGAAAACAATTATGCAGCTATTTTATACCTACTAATTTTTTTAATGTAAATCTCAATATACAAGAAAATGTCAAGATTATTGCAGACTTCATTTGAAAGAAAAATTCAAAAAAATTGTAATAAAATGAATCTCTCGTGTAAAATGGAGACATGCATATGATGAAGTTTTATGATAATTTAATATTTTCATTTTGTGGATCATTATGATCACTTTAATATAATCTAATCATTAAAATAATTTAGTTATATTCTAATGTTCCTTTAGGCTTTTTGTCAAAATAAGTTTAGCTTATAATGTAGACTTGATCATTTTTGCATATGTTATTATTTAAAAGTGGAGTAGGTGAAGTTTTAATATATTTTGTGCTCCAACAAACTTCAGCTTCAAAATTCATTGTTTTTTTTTTTTGGGGGGGCAAAGGATACTTCTATTGGAACATTAAAAAACAAGTCTAGGAACAAAAGGAAACGGCAACAACAAAGCAGGAACCAAAAAAGAGAAAAAACGAAAGAGGTAAAATGACTGTTTTTTTCTCATTTAATGTGTATTGATTTGATGATCGGGTGGATTTAATATGTGTGGGTAGGTGGGTGGGCGTGTATTAAAGTTACTATAGTATACATCTAATAGTTTTAGTTGTAACTAGAAAAAATAAAATGCTATACTCCTCCATTCACAAATATATAACATTTTTAACTGAATTTCACTCTTTAATAAAGTAATTATCTACTTTTAAACTAACTTTATCTTTTTATATTTTACCTCTATTAAACACTTTATAATAAATATAAAGTCATTATTAATAAAAGTACTTTTAGAACAAAGACAATAATTACACCTCGAAAGACTAAAAATATCTTATATTTTTGAACATTCAACTTTTCAAAAAATGCCTTACATTTTTAAATGGAGGGAATATTCAATAAACTAGAGGGACAATATGGCTCTTGTTAAAAATAAAAAGAAAATATTAATTAAACCAAGGACCTAAACATTCAAGCAAGAATTTCCAAATTGAAAAGAAGTAAATATACTTTTAATTAGTTTTTTAAGTTTTAAAGCATATTATTTAACTGGAGATCATAATTAGGTGTCAAAAAGTTATGTTTCCAATAATTTTTTAAAATTATAAATATTATCTCAAACAATTACAATTCAAGAATCACTGTTGTACTAGAAAAATCATTTAAATTTTAAATGTAGCTCAATTTGTAATTAAGATTTCTATTAAAAAAATTACCTGAATTGATATTTGTGATCAAATACTTTAATTAGTTGATGAAACAATCGTGTAAAAAAACACTCATTTTAAATATTAGATTTTATTATGGTCATGAAGCTGCTTGAAATTGAATGATATATACATATATATATATATATATTTTTTTTTTTCCAATAATGCACTATTTAATTAATAATTAATAATCTGAACAGCAGAAAAGTCATATTAACATTTTCGAACTAATAAACTTTTTTGTGTACTATACTCTATACCTTAAGGAGAATGGCATCTGCTGAAGGAATACACTGAAACATATCACCTCCAAGGAACTTAAGATTATCGCTATCCTTCATATCTGCAACAACATGAGGAAGATCCATCACTGTGCACTTCAAATCTGGAAATTCTTCAGAAATGGCCATGGCTGCACCACCTTTCCCTCCTCCAACATCAACCAAAGTCTTCAAACCCCAAAACACTGATTTACACTCTCTCATAACCAAGTTCATCATCCCAGAATCACTAATCATACCTTTATTGAACACTCTGCTAAACTCTGGATTCTCTCTTCCATACCTCCAAAACTCCATCCCAAAGGCACTTTGAAAAGCTGTGCTGTCTTTATCACTATAAAGCCAATCTCCCAAGAACTGACCTGGGCTCATTACTGCAGGATGAAACACTGCTTGAGCATAAGCAAACATGGAGGGAATCTTGTCTTTGAGAAGCAGCCTGGAACATGGTGTGAGGTCATAACCCTCTTCTTCTTCATTTGGGATTTTTGTGGAAGAGAAGATTCCAGAGTGAACCAGTAAGCTCATGAGTCTGTGGACGTAGTTGGACCTTGAAGGGTTGATTTTAAGGGCTGAGACTAACTGAGAAAGAGTGATAGGTTTACCATGGTTGAAGATTGTGTCTGGTATGCCCATCTGAAGAGCACTTTTAAGGCACATAGATCCTACAAAGTTGAATATGTGTTTGAACAAATCTGCTTGAGCTTGAAACATCTCTTCTCCTTTCTGCTCTAATTGTTTGCCTTCCATTTCTGCTGATACCTTCACTTTTTGATAGATGAATTGCGTTGTGTTGTTGTTTCTCAGCTTTTGTTTTATGGTGGAGAATAATGGATCTTGTTATTGGAAAAAAAAGTAGAAATTTCTGAATATTGTTATGTGAGTCAGATATCATTAAACTTCGTTTTATAAGACATCAAATTAATTAAATATTTCAGGATCAGGATAGCGTTTTTCGTGCATGATAGAGATTGTCAAATTCTTAGTGGCCGAGTGATAGATTATTTTTCAAATATTTTTTCCCCGGAGCACATTTTCGTGATGGTTGTTTGTCCCGTTTCTCGGCTGTTGCTCTCGTCACCTGGTTATTTTCCTTTGCCATTTCTTTTAACATAATCTTTAACGGTCAATTTCAAAAGATTATGTGTTTATTAAAATAATATTACGGTACAAAAACATCACGTGAGCTCACAAGACACACGTTAGAAACTTTAAGTGTAGATAGACATGAAGTTGAATTGATATAAGAAGTACATGATGAAATATAATTGAATTTAATAATTAATATATAATAAAGTAAAAGTATTATCATAGATTTAATTCTTGAAGTTTTAAATTATAATATATAGGTAAAAAAAAGAGTTTTAAATTAAGATTTGATCTCATTCTATTGCGCATCCACATAAAAGTTAATATAATATTTCAGAATCATGATAGTGTTTTTCGTGCTCATTGTCAAATCCTTACGGAGTAAGTGATGGATTATTTTGCAATATGGTTTTTTCAACCTTTTGAAGCACATTTTAGTCATGTTTGTTTGTCCCGTTTCACGGGCTTTCAGTTGTCACAGGACATTTAGTCCTTTTTTTTTTTATGAGAGAATTTTATTAAAAGTTTTCGGATGTGATATATCATTTGATATGAAATAATTTCAATTGAGATTAAAAAAAATTATAAAATTGCACTGTAGGCTTAAAGTACCGAATTGAAATAAAATTTCTCAGTTAAATGGCCACAATAATGTCCTTCAATTATAATTAATATAATTGAAATAACAAATCGTATTATAATTTATACAAGTAATATTATTAAAATAATAAGTTAAGTTACAAGTAATACTATTATAGCAAATTAGGTTATGGTTTTTATAAGTAACATAACTGAAATAATAAGTCAAGTTATAGTTTTTACATATAACATTAGTAAAGTAACAAGTCAAATTATAGTTTTAGTATGTAACGTTGCTATAATAAATCAAGTTATGATTTTTAGTAAAATTATTATAATAAGTCAACTTATGCATTTTACAAGTAATATGATGAGAATAAAAAGAAGTTACATTTATTTTAGTAATATTGCTTGTAAAACCTGTAAGTTAACTTATCATTTTAGTAATGTTATTTGTAAGCACTATAACTTGACTTTAGTGATGGACTTAGAAAAATTAAGTAGAGGGGGCAATATTTTTACTCAAGTTAAATAGTAATTGTTTTTTAAAACTATAATTTTAAATATCTATTAAATTATATTAGAGGTAAAACATTTGTTAAAATTAAATACTAAATAATAAGGCCTATAATGTTGTAGTTATTATGTTTTATTTTTTATTAAATAAAATTTATTTATCTGTTTTGTATAATAAGGAAAAATTTGATCAAAAAATAATAATAAAGAAGCAATTAAAAAGATTTGTTTGAAGTGATTAATTCCTCCATTCTCAAACCATTGAAATTTAATATTATAATAGATAGATATGATTTGAGTTAAATAAACTTTTAAGGGAGCAAATGAATTTTTTTCTTTTGAAAGAGGGGGCAAAATATAATTTTTTGATGGGGCAATTGCCCTGACAAGCTTCTACCTAGGTCCATTCCTACTTGACTTGTTATTTCATCAATGTTAATTATAATTAAAGAGCATTTTTGTCATTTAATCAACATGATTCATTTTATTTCAGTCTTTCGAGCTTACAGTGAAATTTTAAAATTTTTTGAGTCTTAATTAAAATCATGTTACTATCAAGGGCCTTTAATGAAGTCCCCCCCCCCCCCCCCCCGCGGCTTTCATTGCCATTTCTTTTAACAGAATCTTTACGGTCAGTTTCGAAAGATTATGTGTTTATTAAAGTAATATTATGTTACAAAAAGTCACTTTAGCATTTAACTCTTTGGACGCATTTTAGGAGATAGTTAAGAATGAGTTGATTTAAGACCATATAAAAATTATTTTTCATGTTATTGAATATAATTGAGTTTAATAGTTGATATATAGTAAAGTAAATAGACTCATAAACTTGACCATTAAAATCTTAAGTTAAGATGTTATATTTTTCTATCATTCATGATCTACGTATTCTTTTTCCTATAAACTCGAAATGGAATTGGCCCATCTTCTATAGATATAGAGTCATAGAGACTTTGGTGTTTGTGACATGTTCAATATTGGGAGCTTGTGAAAATATAATTTTTGAACTTCTAACTAATTTTAGTTTCTTTTTAGTTTTTAATAAAACAAAATTGGATAGGGCTCATTAGAATTAAAGTATGTCTTTAGATTCAAAAAACAGCTATAGAAATACTTACAATCACCTATTAATAAGATTTTTATGCCGATAAGATTTGAATTCAAATCTTCTGAAATTATGAGTGAAATGTTTACTAATTTCATCAAACTTTGTTGGCTTCTCAGTAATTTTCTTTGAGGTTACGTTTCTAAATGTTGTTTCCCCCGTTTGGTAGTAAATCAAGTAACTTTTTTTTTTTTTTCAATGAACCGTTTGGCGCATTGCATAAGATCGGTGGTATAAGTTAATAAAATAGATTATGGACTTATCAATTGTTGGGTGTCCCCAATGTATATTGGATTAACCTATACATGATACCTCTATTATATAATAAAGGGGGATTTTAATAAAGGATCATGGATGTGACTTATATTCCAATCACACCTTATGGATTTTGAAATTTCTCTAGGGCACCAAGGAACTAAACGGAAATTTTGGTTTGATAGCAAATTATTGAAATACCGTTTATTTATTTTCAAAAAAATATTTTAGCTACCATTTCCAGAGCTCACTGCTTACAAGATTTATTAATTACTTAACTTTACTTATTAAATTTGTAACTCCCTTTATCGAACTGCATTACTTATTAATTACATAAAAAATTATGAGAATGCATAAAAAAGTATGTCTTAATGCATAAAAAAATTATGTCTAGTTATAATAAAGTTGAATGTTACTTTTACCAAAAAACTTGAATATTACTCCCAGATACCATGCACAAAATTCAGTTAATTAGTATTAAAAGAATGTCTAAAGAAAAAAGTACCGGTAGTGAATTAACTCTATATAATTTTTTTTACGGTATGAATTATATTTTGAGTAGAAGAATTAATTTGGACTAGTACCCCATCTTATTTTTCTTTCCAACTTATACATTGAGAGTTTAACATGTTCTAATTTATCGGCATAGTTTTAAAACGGATAAAATAGATTAGGTTAATGAAACAGAGAGAAAAAAAGCCACAAAAATTAGGCCAAGAAAATATTTAGTACACTCTAATAGTATCAAATTAAATTTTGATTAAAATTAAGTGTGTCGGTTTTAGTTTTTATTAATCACTTTTATTTTGTACCAACTTGAAAAAACTTTGTTCTATTTTATTTTCTACTAATTAGTTTTTGTTATAGGGTAAATGAGCAAATTGACCCTTAAATTATAAGTCCAAAAGTGTCTGAGACTATAAACTCATTTTTTGTGCAATATTCCCTTTCATCTTTTGTGAAATATTTCCTTTCAACATTTAAAAATGATATAATTTAACCCCTCTAATACTAGGGGGGCAGGATTTATATGCGTCTATTCCTAGAGCTCCTTGAAACAAGTGTCTCAGGGTATATTGATCTAAGTTAGGCCCCTTAACACCTCTCCTAAGAAAATTGGGCCACTTTAAGATTCTCAACCCTTCAACACTTCAATTTTCAGATCTCTAAGTATAATGACATGGGCTCACACTCATAGAATGTTGGTCAAATTCATTCCACAGGGTCCTCATAAAGAGGCAAGTGAAAAGCATACTTTGAACTTTAGTATGACAAAATTAAGATATTAGATAATCAAGCTTTTAAGAGAGAAGAGAGAATCTAGAGAGACATATTTATGAAACACATGATTTTTTTTATTTTTCTAATGAGTTCTAATTTACAATCTAGCAGAGGCTCCTTTTTATATATGAAGGGAGAATGATAAGATCAATACATCTATGATTACAAGGTGATAAATGGGGACACTCCTGTTTAAAAGTAAAGCTTAACATAATACGAAGCAAACCATTTTTGTCAAAAAGTGGAAACCACTTTTGACAAATTTGGCCAATGACAAAGCTGACATTGAAAAATGCAAACTTATAAAAGTAACTTTTGACAAAATTATTATAAGACAGAATTGATTTGACATAAAGTATATTTCTAAATTATTGCAAGCTCTTGTGGATGCATTCTTAGTCTGATGACAGGTTGATTTCTTTTCTTCCTTTCTGCGCCACTTGGCAGAGAAAATTTCAAAGAGAATCTTGTCTTTATTAGAATCTTGATCCATATCTTAAGGTGGTCCGGGAGTTGGTGTGTCTTTTATCTTTGGGAACAGTTGGTAGGTTTAAGTCTTTACCTAGTGTGGGTCCTCGCTATCTAGTAGAAATAATGGAGCAGTGGATGAGGATGCTCTGTCATACGATTATATCCATGTGCAATATCCTTTTCAAACAACAAGAGTTGTGAGCCAATCTAGAAATTTGTATTGGATAGCTAGTGATGGATCAATAGGAAGGATGGGCTGATGAGGGATAAATCCAATTGATATGCATATAAGATTGAGATCTACTGTCAAAGGGTTATTCATATCATATACAAATTCTTTTAATTTACATAAGGTTGAATTTTCATGTGATGGTCAGTCATGTGTGATCTTCCATAGATAGGCTGGAACATAAAGGTTTCCTTGGCTGCTAACATGGCAAGGATGATGAACAACGGAAAAGGAATAAACCTTTTGTTTATGTAAGGATTTTTTCCATAGCCTATGTAATTCAATGACCTTAGAGAGTTATTGACGCCATCTACGTATTAAGTGTAGTAACCCAAGAATTTTAAGTAAAAAATTAAACATTTAATAATGCATTGTACTTGTAATTATATTAATTCTTGGGACAAAAATGAAAAGATGGAAAGCCGATGTAGTGGTAGCTATGCAAGTACTCTCCTATTAGGTTTCAAGGTCAAATCTTACTATAGTCTAAGGAGTTTCATTTGCTTTTATAATTTATGTAATTACCAAAGGGCCCTTATCTCAACCATATTTTTTTTCACTACTTTCTTGCCTTCTTCATGCGTTTTGAGATGAGAGAAAGAGAGTGGGAGAGCAAAGCACCAAACCCTTGCCATATCATCCATCGATTTCTTCCTTCTTCCTTCTTAATCATCGATCAAGCTGTTGTTCATGTGAGCTATCGTCGCCAACGAGTCTGCTGTCATTTAGCTCTCTACTATTGTGAGTTCTTTCCCTGATTTTTCATTATTTTCTCTACTCATTTCTATGGGTTCAGACCATGATGCTTCTTATTTCCTCTTGTTTTTGTTTCTGTGATCTAAGTCTGTTCATGGGAAGGAGAGCATGCAAGATTTCGAGTTGCTCGTTGAAGGTTTGTTGCTGAACCTCCTCCTTATTCAGCTGATGTTCTATTTCTTCTTCTTCGTGCATCCCCAATTCATTTAAAAATGAGATGCTTTGATCTCTTCTCCCCTTGATTAATTAGTGTGTGTGAAGTGTGATTAACATTATTGAAATTGCAAATTTCTCTTGTAAGTTTTGCTGCTGTCATGCTCTGTAGGGAGGAGAAAAAATATTTAATTTGAGCTGAAAATTTATCTTGAAGCTCAATAAAGATATACATATAGTCATTATTTTTGAGTTAAATTAATTTTGTTTGGATTGAATGATGTTGAAGAATTTGTTAGGGTGAAATTGAAACATAATAGCTTAGATATAAAACTTGAATATTGGTGCCTATAAGATAGTTGTTAGAGGAAGTTGCAAAGGAGATTTGACAAAGAAATTAATAATATAAATATGTTGAATTCTTGGAGATGGATAGTTTATTGATGAAATATTTGAATGCTGGTTTTTATGCATGGATTGGATATATATATATATTTGGTGCCTTGACAAAATGCCAATGAGGAATATTTTTAAAAAGTGTATAGCCTTAGTTCTAGAGTTTCAAATCTATTATAGTCTAATTTTGGTGGGGATGATGTTAAAAATGAACTATTGTATTGATTGAAGGTTTAATAAAAATCTTAATATGATTATAGGGTATTTGAAAAATGAAAAATTTAATTAAAGTTAAGAGATGAAATTTGGACATCGAAAAATTTAGGTAAGTGGACAGTGTCCCAATTAATTTTTTAATAAAAATTTTCTTCATTAAAATACTACATTTTTATGTAAATCATTTGAATAACAACGATGTAATTATTAGATAAATTATTGATTAAACTTATTTATTTTTTGAAATTAGCTTTATCAATTTTGAAATGTTAGGTAATCAATAAATACAAGTTTGAATTTTGATTATGAGATTTCATCTATCAAATATTAAATTGATATAGAAAATGATTCATGTGAGTTCAATATTGAAAATGAAAAATTTATTTATTAATGATTATTTTCTCATATGTGTGAAATTAGGTTTGAAAGAGACTTTATATAGAATATTGGTTGCTAATGGAAATCATGTTAGCCTATGGTGCCTTTGCCAATGACTAGCTAATTTAAATTTTCATGAGCCTTGTTCTCACGTTTGTTATTCATGAATCTAATATCTATATTTGATTTCGTGCCTACAAGCCATGTTTAATTAGTATTATCCTCGCGGATTATGTGTTCATATTTGTTTTGTGATTTCAGCTGCGTTTAGTTACTTACCATCATGAACTATGTGTCCATATTTGTTTTCGTGGTATAAGTCGCATTTAGTTATTTACCGTTATGAACTATGTGTCCACATATGTTACTTATTCTATAAGTCCTTGTAAATATAAGTTCAATTATTTGATAGTTTTATATTCCATTGGTTTTAATTAGTGATACATTCATAATTTTTTATAGTGGTTATTTGTTTTCTTGAAATCAAGTGATAATAAGGATTGCTATGATAATTTGATAATTCAAGATTTTATTTAAAGTTGTGTAGAGTCTTTTTGTGTTGAAGTTTATTAAATATTTGTTTATAAAAATTGTTATCTCTTTAATTTACATTATTATTTAAAGTCAATTATTTATTTTTGTGACGTTATTCACTGAAAAATTATTTTTGTCTCAAATACTTTAGTTGACATGGATCTTCTTACCAACTCCTGAGGATTTTAGACATTTTGGGTGAAAAATTGACTGAAATCCCTCCTTTTTATGTAATTATAAACACTTGTGTATTTTATTTGAAAAGTATGATTAAGTACTCCACATTAGCTATAACCAAGGTTTCTATTTGATATACATATACATATATATATATATATATATATGATGTCTGCTAACTAGAAGGAGCTAAACTCTTAATTGATATGATATTTTGTGTAAATTTTTGTATTATAGAATTTTTTGAGAGATCCTAATTATAAAGAAGATTCTGTCAAAATTTTTATAAAAATGTTAAAGTTTTATTATAATGATTAGTATCAAAAGTATAAAATTTCAATATAATTTGATTACCTCTTAGAAACAGAATGAATTTTTATTTTAAGGCTTATGAGAATGTGTGATGTGGTTCACACTCCTACTGAACACCCTTTATTTTCGAGGCGTGACATGAAAAGAACCAGTCAAGAAGTTTCCAAAGGTTTAAATCTTCATTTACTGAGTCATAAAGATAATGAAATATTTCTAATAGTGAAAAAGCTAAGTTACACACATGTAAAGTGGAAAGGGACTAGAGGTACCACTTGAGCTCATCTAGAATAAAACCTCTGATAAAAGGTAAGGTTAGGTAAGGAGCTTGAATATCAAAGAACTCAAGCTATGGTTGGATTTGAGTTTTTTGAAGAACAAGGTAAAGCTAAAAAGAACAGACTTCTTCTTTTAAGATTTTAGACTTCAGGGACAATGTTGTCTATGGCCTGGGGGGAACACTAATTTGCTTGGCATGATGTTGATGATGAAAAGAAGTTGAATTTGTGAAGGGGTAATAAGACAGGTAATTTTTTATGGCATAGTGAGGTAATCTGCAATAGTGTTGTGATTTCCTTTATGTGCCAGACAATGAATTTATATCAAAAAAACTAGTCCTTCTATCGAAGGAGTTAAGCTTAAGGAAGAATCTTCCTATTTTGATCTAGGATATTAGGGAATGACATGTTGTTCATTTCTACCACAAAGTGGTAGGGGCTAGATGAAAACAAAACTTTTCAATGCCATGCTTTACAGCTACAACTTCTTTGTAGGAAATATGGTAATGCTTTTTAGAGGGTTTGAATTCTCCACCAGCATGATTACAATGTCTCTTCCCATTTACTTCTTCAATAAGTAACACTCTCTAATAATCATCACTTGCATCAATCTGCAAAATGTGCTGTCTTTTGTCAAGAATCCTGAGGGAAGGAGAATGCTAACAAATTTGTTTAAAGTGTTGAATAGCTTTTGTCTAGTTTGGACCCTAAGGTGGTAGATTTTTTGTAACAATCTGGACAGTTGGATTACATGATGAGACAATTAAGGAATAAAATCTTTGATATAATTAGCTATACCTAAGAACTATTGTATTTGAGTTTTCGATAAGTTTTCATCAAAGAAATATAATAATTCCTCAAAATGTGAGCTAGGATAGTATTGTCTATTTTGGATAATCATTCCCAAAAATTATATCTAGGCTGCAGTAATATGACTATCACAACCCATACTAAGGGTGTGACCAACACAAAATATGAGATAGACTTACATTCTTTAAGCCTTAATTAGCTAGAAAATTAATCTAAGATAATGAGAAATAATTTATGTCTAAATTCAAAATTTATAAAGTTTTAATCATTTTGTAGAAGTTTCAATAGAATCTCTCCTCTAATTAGGATCTCCTGAAATTTTTACAATAACAAAACTTGTCAGTCAAAGTAGAAAGGAGCTTAGCTACAAAACAACATATTTCACAATAATAAAATAAGACTAGGACCTAACTACAATATATATGGAGCACTAAATTATAATTTGCACAATACAATACATATTTGCACTAACAATATGTCTAATACATACTTCTACTGTTAAAAAAAATAATACAATAGAGCCCTTTAACGTTTAGCAGGAGGTGCATGGTCAACTACAATATTTGAGACTAAAAACATTTCTAGTGAGTAGCGTTCATTCAAAATTACAAATCAAACAAAAATTATGAAGATGGTAATTAATAAATTTAGTATAAGACAAATCAATGAAGTAATAAAACTTATACTTAAACTAACAATAAATAATGAGTTTTTGAATAATATAACCATGAAATTTAAATAATGCTAATAGAATCATATAAATTTATCAAAATTTGTATTACTTATAAAATATAAAATTTCAAGTAATGGTACAACTAAATATAATGCTTTTAGAGAACTAATATAAGAATGATAAATTTTAACTTAAATTTAGAAAGACTTCATTAGAATGAACAACAAGCATGGACAAACAATTCATGAGGGTAAATAAACTAATCAAGCATGGACACACAGTTTATGAGGATAAGCAACTAATCAAGTGCGGCTGAAAGCCACAAAATAAGCATGGTAGGAGCCACGAAACAAGCAAAGGCATGAGGCTTACAAAAACAAGCATGAGTATGATATTCACAAATAACCATGCCTCCATTCCACGTGCATTGACCTTTGCACGGGACTAACACCTCCTATAAGCATCCTGTTAATTAAGTATACTATGGCACGCTAAGGGCTAACAGAACTACCGTTAGCATCCAGCATTCTAAACTTAATCCCCCTTAATAAAATCAAGCATGTATGGAGTAAGAAAAACAATTTCAAAAATTTCACTTTCAAACACTGTTTAGCTATCATTTTTTATTGCTCAAATTTATTATCATTTCTTCCACACATGAATCGTTGCATTAAAAAAATTTATATCAACGTAGAGTTAAGTAATTAAATTGCTTTAAGAAATAATATCATTTATTATATGTCCATTTCAATCATTACTTATTAACAATATAAATTATCAGTAAAATCAAGACATTGTCATTAATAAGACATTTATTAGAAAAATAGGATTAACAAGGATATTTATACAATTTATAATGAAATGATAGTAAAATTTAAATAAAGAGATTTTATAAATACTTTACTAGAAATTTATTCGGAACGCTACCCACTCACGTAAAAATTTTTCAAAAATTCTAAATCTTACTTCTCTTACTTTTCACTTTAATTCTAGTGATGCTCTTAATTTGCTGACAGAAATCACAATTCTGAAGTCATTTATCAAGTAATTTTTTCAACACTTGGTGAATATTCAAATTTGATTCCAAAACAACATCACAACCTAAAATATACAATCCATAAATTCATTATCAATTAAATAACTTATTAACAACCCAACTAAAATGAGAAAAAATATTTTCACCTCTTTTTGTACCTTCTCAAAACTTAATGAAATGCCATAACCACCATTTGTTTTAACAAAATCTACCTTAGGTACTTTAGGATTTCAATTTATTGACTCAAATCACTACTTACATGTGTTCCTTCAAACTAACAATATGGAAATTGAGCAACTAACATTCCGCCAAATTCTTCTCCAATACATCTCAAACTTAGCACCACATTATTGATAGATGCAAACAATCACATATATACTTCACTAACCTTCTATATAGAAATTAACTATTTTAATTCAACCAAATTACTCTTTTAAGCATTTTAATAATCCAAATATACTTGAGTCAAATAAGCTATTTGACACATCTCAATCCATCTTTATATCTTTTTATAACCTATCATCAATCACAAATTATAACAAATCATATTAACTATTCTTATGCTTCCTTTAGACTTAATAAATAATATTTAAGTGTCCTATATAATCCTTTCTTGGTATCATTAAATTTTAACCAATAGCTCAAGCCCCTTCTTATACATATATTTCTCCAAGCTATATTATATTAATTTAGTAACATTATTTCTACAATTTTTTCTTTCAAGCATTTTCACAAACATCTTGAGGGCACTCAAATTTAGCTCACAACAATCATTCAACCATTAAATTATCTTCCAACATTAACTCAATCATTAACATTCAGCCCATCATCAACTTAAAATATAGCAAAGCATTAATTAAATTACAATTCCATTTTCTCAAAATTATGACAGCAACTATGAGGAGCAAGGATGCATTCTTCGGCCAGGGGAAGAAGGAGGATGATCCACACTGCTATTAAAGTCATACACACGGAAGAAGGGAGAATTAATGCCTTACCCTAACCAAAGCACAGTAGTAGCTGCAACACCATAGCTCACGAACTACATAAAGAAGAGAAGAAGAGCTTCAACTCAGCTGCCCCAAGAGGAGGAAACACAGTAGAAATTACAGACCAAAAAGTGGAGGGATTTGAGCTTACTATGCGCACACACATGGTCTTCTAGTAGCTGAGGAGGAAGCAAATGGAAGCTGAATGCACCTACACACACCACCATCGACCCAGAACAGAGAGGCAACAGAGAATAGCGAAAAAAAGGAGAATTTCCAGCAACTCTACACACCCAACGGCAGAAACGTACCAGTGAAGGTGAGACAGACCCACGGCGAGAAGAAGAACAAGTCGGCAAGGAGAAAAGAGAACTAACGGAAAGAGGAGAAGAGCCGAAGGACGCATAAAAAAATCTCTCACTCTGTTATGCGTATATGACCGACAAAGAAGAAGGGAAATTGGAATAAAAAGACCATGGGAAAAATTACAAAACAAGACTAGAGCTTGTTAGGAAAAATTACAATTCAAAACCCCATCAGATTATTTTTTTAATTATAATATTTTTTCTATGACACGAAACAAGGGGACTTTAGTAATTTAGAAAAATAAAGCTAACCTTTGACTTAGGTAATATTCAACTTTGGACCCCCATAACTTTAGTAATGTCCCTACTCTTCATTTGTCATAAATTAAAATAAATGAATTAAGTGTCTATTAGGAGAGAATTTATTTAATTTAAAATTTAAGGTTATTACAATGACCTTTTTTGAACTAATAACATAATCTCATACTGTTGAATAATTTTGTAAAATTGGGCCAAAAGGGCCTTATGTTCTTGCTTAGTTTTTGAAAAAATAATAAATCATCAATATAAACTAAAGTACTATTGATAACAAGCTCGAATATCGGATCATAGCCTTTTGGAATAATGATGGAACAGTTTTGAGCCCAAAGGGCATTACTGTCTACTGGTATTGGGCATTTGAAATACAGAAGGTTGTCTTGTGTCTATCTACAAGATCTATTCCCAATTGACAAAATTTTATTTTGAGGTCAAACTTTGAGAATAGTTTGGCTCGTTTCAAATAGACTAATGAGTATTAATCTTAGGTAAAGGAAACTTATCATCTTAAAGAAAAGCATTAAGAAGCTTATAATCAATCACTAGCCTCTTCTTTCCTCTTTTTTTCAAATCTTTCTTCAACATATATATAACTTGGTAGATTCAATGAGACCTTGCTTGAGTAGAGCTACACATTCTCCTAGAGTCGGTAAAAGATCTTCTAGATTCATTCTAGGATGAGATGCTTTTATAGGATTAACATCTTCATTATTTTTAAAAGGAAATTTAATGAAAAGCTCCTTATTCTTTCATAAAGGAGATGAATGCTGAAATTGATAATGGCTTGGAATGTTAGTGTATTATTTGAAGAATTGTTTGAATTGAATACCCCTAAGGAGTATTTGCAAGTTCTTGATTTCTCTATACACATAAAAACCAATAAGGATATCTTTTGTTGGGAGATGACTTTCAAGAATCTTTATCAAGTGTGTGCATCTAACAAAGAATCTTATACTAATTTTTCTGTTGGTAATAAGATTAATGTTGAAGAGCTTATCATCAGCAATAACAAAGTACTTATTGTGAGGTACCTATTTTTCTTTTGGAAGAATATGAGATTTCATGACACTTCTACAGGAACCAATGTCCATGAAAATGATGACAAGGATAGGGACATCATATTATAAGGTAATATTTGAATTTTGACATTAGGTTGTGGAATTTGTGAAGGATAAGGTGGCTGGTTAAGGTCTATGGGGATATCATACTTTGAGGGTTTAATAGAGATTGGCTAAGGCTTTGAATTAGGATGGACCCAATAGCATATAAAGGAGTGGATACTGAGGTGAATAGTACTCATCAGTTAAGCTTTCATCAGATATAGGAAGAACATATTGAGTATCTTCATCTTATTCTGATAGCTCTTTAAGGATAGATTCAACATCCTAATCATTAATAAGGGGAATAACAGTCTCAAGGGACTGGACCGGCTTCAAGTCTTTTTTGGACTTGTTAAGACACATTTTTACAAAATGCCCTTTTTGTTCACAAATGAAACATATATCTGATCTTCTTAATTTCAAAGTTCTTTATTTGAAGAATCTGAAATAATGTCTTTTTGGTTTGAAGATTATATGCCTGTATTCATGGAAATGATTTTTCTTCTTATAAGAGCATTTTTCATGTTCCTTACATTTAATCTTCAAATAAGGCTTCTTTCTAGCTGATTGTAACCTCGACTTGCCTTTGAGCATAGCTTTCAAAAATTATTGTTGTTCATAGAGCTTTTCTAGAGCAGACAAGGCTAATTGATATATTTCACCAAGATAGATTTGAGACATTTCTCTTTGTAATGCATTGATGGCTCTGTAGAGCTCAAGCTCATCAGGTAACTAAAGAAGCAGCAAATTTATGTTTGAGGTTAAGGTCATTGGCACCATTTAGCATGTAATATTTTTCAGACATCCTTTGAAAGTGGTTTTGTAGGTCTTTACAGTCTAATAAACAACATTTCATTTTCAGAGAACTCTTGTTTGCTTCTTCTGTCAATAAGATTAAAGTCTCCGAGGAATTCTTTATGGATTGCTCTAAGAAATGAAGTAACATCAATCTAGGATGCTCAAATTTTATCATATTCACTAAGACTTTGGAACCATTCTCTTAAGTTTTCAATCATTCTTGAGAGGAATTTTTGAGAGCACTTAGTTACATTTGGCTTGGTTATCTACAAATCAATCTAGGTACTAAACTCTTGAAGTTGTTCTCCACCTACGTAGGGGTAAGTCATCAAAAGTAAACTAAGGTCCAGAAGTAGGTATGGAACTACAAGCATGAGTGGTTAGTTCATTAGGGATTTCTTCCATGATTCTTGATGCATCATTAGGAGGATCTTCCACAACTGTTTCTATTCGAGTTTCACTTTAAGGTTGAGGTTGAGGTTAAGGTGGGACCATTACAATTTTTGACAAGTCAACCAAATGTTATTCTTTGTTAGAGTCTATAAATTCAGTAGAAACTTTAAAAGAAACAACTGAGTCTATATCTTCTTGGTCAAAATAGACTTGATCAAAAATAGCTTTTCGTATAACAACAATGTGTAACATCCTAGATGTTAATCCATTGACTAACTAATCTTAATTATGATAGTTAAGTAAATTATAGTGGTGTGTGACCAGAGCAGTTTAACGAGTGTGTTTGATTGTATTTTTAGTTGTAAAAGCGAGGCCGAAGAAGAATCAGGTCACTCGAATGTGAAATGAGGAAGAAAAGTGAAGAGGGAAGACTCTATACCATGCATTACTTGTAGGCCAAGCCACTGCAGTACATGTGCATTGACACGTTTGGGGAGGCCCTCTTTGTCCATGCACTGTGACACATTGTGCATCCGTTGTGGTGCATGGCCATTTTCAACAGCTTATCAGTCGCGAATTGAGGTAGAAAAATAGAAAGAAGGAAAGAGAATGAAAAACTAATGGAAAGCTCTGCTAATGTTTATTTTTGAAGGATATTTGGGACATTTTGAAGCTACTAAACACTAAAGGTAAGTACACTAAACTCCATTCCTCTCTATCTTTTCCACATTTATGAGTTTTTGGTTAGGGTTTGATAGTAGGAGATGATTTTTCAGTCTATGTAGCTTATGGGTCTAAATCTATTGATTCAAATGGAATTAATGGGAGTAGATTAGAGCATCTAAACCTAGATATATTGGGTTTTGGCACTTTTAGTGGTTGGGTCTCATTATTATGTGAAAATGACATAAATGAGGGTTGTTAGAAGAGTGTAATGCCATTAATGGGAGTTTAATAGCTCATTAATCTTATTGAGGACTAAAAAGAGTTAATAAACCTAATGGGTAGGCCCAAACTTATTGAATATAGGCATTATAAAGTCTAAAAAAGGGAGAAAAGAGTTGAAAGATGTGTGTTTGAACATATTGATGAATCTAATTAATTATGGATTGTAGATTAAGTTCTTAGACACCAATTTGGCTTTAGAATTCAAGTTTGGAAGCTATAATATTGAGGGGTAAACCTTTGACCTTTCAAAGATTTGAGGTAACTAAGGGAACCCTATTTTGGGTAGTTATATGTCAATTGATAACTAATTATGGATAATATGGAATGTCACAATGTGAAAGCATGTTAATACTTTCGATCTATGTTTTGAAAATAGGAATGTGCATGACATTATATTTGGCTTGTATTGCAAATGCAAAATCTAGATAGTTTTTGAATTACGAGCATGCACTTACTTTTGGTAAGATGAATGTGATATTGTGTTGAGGTAAATGTGGGTTAATAAAGAAATGAAATGTTGTGATAAATGAGAATAAAGTAGTGACTATATGTGAAAATGGGTAATATAATATTGTGTTAAGCTGTAGCATCAATAGACCCACGAGATAGTGGTGAGCCTAAGTAAGGCAAAAGAACCTGGAGGGTATGGTGAGATCTTATGCTTAAAAGTGGAAATATTGTTGAGAAAATAATATGAATGCTTACTTAGGTATCAAATTTACGCGAGCCTAACGTGTTAATATGAATGAATGGGATTTGTGAAAATAAGTGGGCATCATACATGGCATGATCAGTGGGTAGGAGTTTACTTAAGGATTAGGAGTGGAGAAAATTCATATGATATTTAGGCTGCCATCTGGTATATAGGGGTATAGCCTTTTCCTATAGTTTGTCAAGGGACTATCCCACAGTTTGTCGAGGAAAATAGCTTAAGAAATATGACACCCTAGATATTCGAGAGTTAGGGAAGCCATGGTCTAAGAGTGAGTACTATAATTTTTAGCCGGATCATACCTCACAATTAGTGAGCTTGGGTAGTCTAGTCACACAGACAAAGCCTTATTCAATGTTATAGCCTGTGGTTTTAGTTGAAAGATATAAGGTTGGCTGATCATTGCCTATGTAAGTATATAACATGTCACACGTTTTGAGTTACAGCAAGTCATGTGATATATCAAGTCATAGTCACATGCCTGAGTGTCTTGTAATTATGTATCTAACATGTGTGAGATGAAAATGTGTTAATTAGATTAGTAAGTTATGATATGTGCTCAAGCATGTTTTAAGAACTCGATTTCATATACACGTATCTGATTTCAATTAATATATAATTACATAAGATAGGTTTTACCTTGGTTATTGAGTGACTAGACTCACCCCTTTCATTTAACACTTTACAAGCTCTAGCTCTGATGCAGAGAAAAAGAAGAGTCAAGAGGCTAGGAATTAGTTCATTCCTACCATATGCCTTTAGATTATGTTAATTTGTGTAATAGAATATTATTGCCAATTTTATATTACATATTATTACAGTTATACTATTTTGTTTTTGTAAATATATGAATTATATTTTAGGCCTTGAGAAATTATATATGATAAGTTATATATGTTGGTAAGGCCAAAATTGTAGTAACCCTAGTGAAAAAGTTTAAAATAAAATAATAATAAATAAAATAGAAAATACATATAATGTAATAAATATATATATATATATATATATGAGAGTTTGTGTTTTAATAATAATTATATTAATTTTTAGGATATATATGACAAGAAGGAAAGTTGTTGTAGTGGCAGCTGAGCAAACATTCTCCTCATAGGTCTGAGGTTCGAATCTGGCTAAGGCAAATAAGGAGGAGATTTTATTTTATTTTCTTCCTTCCAAAAATTATCAAATTGCCCTTATTCCTATCAGATATTTTTTTAAAAATCTTCTTTGTTCTTTTTCTTGACTATTGTGGAGCAGAGAGGGATCTGGGAATAGGACAACCTTCTACTCTACCTCCCGTCTGTCACTACTTTCTTCCTGCTCAACCGTAGCTAGCGCCGTCATTTGCGTGGGTTATTGTCACCAATGTGCTCACTACTAGTCTGTTCGCCTCAGCTATGAGTTCTTTCCCTATTCGCCGCCATTCATCTACCTCTGTTACTGATTCAAGTATGAAAAATCTCTCTTTCTTTTACCTTGTTGTTCGTGTGCTTACAAATGCTTTAGGTGAGCTAAGATTTCTTCCTCTTGTTCATTTTCAGTTACTGATATACTCACTCTTCTTGTTCATTCACGATGGCAGTCCTTCCTTTACTGTTTGGAATTGTTTCTCCTTCCTTTGTCCGTGCATGTTGATTCATTTAAGGTTAAAAGCTTCAATCTCTCCTCCTTCTCTTCGTCTGATTTGTGCGTGTGAGTAGCTGAGATGTATTAAGGAGATTATAAATTCTATATGTGGTCTTGCTACCATGCTAAAAATGGGAGAAGAAAGAAATGTAATGGAGCTTGGAAAATATATATATATATATATATATCTTGAGGCCTAACAATGATCTACATATGGTTCAAAATATCCAAGCTAAGTTGAATTATTAGGTTGGTTGGTCTAGAACAATTGTTATAATGGATTTAAAAGAGAAAGAGCTTAAGTGTGAAATTTGAAATTTGTACCTATAAGATGGTTGTTATAATGCTTGTAAGAGGAATTAAACTTGATTTTTAGTGTCTAAAATTTTGTTGGTTCTTAGGATTAGAATGGATATTGGTATTATAGATTTATAGAAGCTAAAATTTGGAAGGAAAGATTAGTCTTAGCTTGGGCTCTAGTAGGAGAAATATGAATATGAAAGATATGGAATTATGAATGAATTTATACACTTCAAAGAAATGTAATCATGAAATTTTATGTCTTTATAGGACGTGTAGAAGAAGAGGATCCTGATAGAAATCGAAGAAAGAATATTTTGGAGATTTGAAACTGCAACAAGTAAGTGAATATCATTCCCTTTAATTTATTTTATTGTCATAGACTTTTATTGAAACATTTTATTTTTATGAATTACATTAATTTTAAAAATTATGGAATATTAATAAAGGACAAATGAATTATGATATGTGCATTTATTTATTCTCAAAAGTGTATTCCCAAGGTCAATGAAAGCACTCTTGTATAGTTGTTAAGTTTTGAAATGTATTGACTACTCAAATATTGTAAGTTTGGCGTAATAGCTATAAAGTATAGTTTTCACAAATTTTGAAATTTGAAACAACTTATGCAAGTTTGGCATTGACAATGGAAATTTTATTATAGCAATAATTATTTTTCTCACATGTTTAAAACACGATTTTAAGAGGACTCTAAACAGAACACTGCTGCTAATCGCAGTTTTGTTAGCCCATAGAGCGCTATGATTAAACACTAGTTAGTTTGTCTCGTGAGCTTTATTCTCACGTTTGATATTTGTAGGCTTTGTACCTACATTTGATTTTGTGGCCTAAGCCGTATTTGGTTAGTTACCCTCGTGGACTGTATGTCTACGTTTGTTTCGTAGTTTCAGCTACGTTTGGTTACTTACTGTCATGGATTATGTGTCCACATTTGTTTTCATGGCATAGACCGTGTTTGGCTATTTACCCTCGTAGACTGTGTGTTTATGTTTGTTATCTATTATATTGTGTCCTCAAAAATTTTAAATGCAGACAAATATCTATTTGTTAAAAATTTACATGATTTTGGCTAGCAAATAAATCACTTGGATTTACGTGTGAATAAATGGTTTTCTTTAAGCATGATAAAAATATATCACTTCCAACTTACTTTCATTTTACAATTGTGATTACAACTTACAGACTTACAAATTTATTTTGTTGAATTCTTTTTATTTAATGTATACTATTATTAGAGGTTGTTAATTTAGATTTTACAATTTTATTTTGGGAATACTATTCACTGAAAAACTTATTTTGGCCCCAGATTTGTTAGCTGATGCTAATCCCACCATTGACATCTGAAGGGAAAAATAGCTACAGTGGGTGGAAATTTTTTATTGGTACTGTTGCTTTTAATGTAAATATATAATTTGTATGTCTTTTTGATTTAAAAGAAAGAATATATGCTCCACATAGATTGTTGATAGACTTTATTTTGATTTTTATATTGGTTGCTGGCTAGAAGGAGCTACACTCCTAATTTGTATTGTTATCTATAAAAAATTCCTGTTGTAGAATTTTTGAGAGATCCTAGTTATAAGGAGGGTTCTACTGAAATTTTTACGAAAACGTCAACACTTTCTTATGATAATTAGCTTAAAAAATTATTTTAATTCTCATGTAATTTGATTATTTTTTTCTTTTCTTTTGTAAAATGGACTAAATTTTCATTCTGAGGCTTACAGGGATGTATGAGTGGTTCATACCCGTGTCAGTCACCCTCTATTTTTAGGGCATGACAAAAATACTAGTACAAGTGTAGAAATGATGTTTCAAACATGTTATGATTTGTTTTGATGCAACACAAGGCGAATTGCCTCCCCTTCTAATTTTGGTGAAAAAGGGGTTGATGAGTGATTTTGTGTTATATTGGTATTTAAGTGCATGTGACATATTGTATTGATAGTCCTAAGTCTAATGGACATGATCTGAGTGTTAGGAATATCTTTTGGCACTTGTTATCGATTATGGACACCCCTTTTATGTGGAAGTTGTGAAAGGTGGTAAGATTGTGTTTAGATGTCTAACTTCCTAATGTGACTTGTTTTAAAAGTGAAACCGTGCCATTAGTTATTTTATAAGAAGAGTTTTTTGTAGACACCTAGATCATGTCAATCGAATGTCGAATGGAGAATCAGGACATGTCAGAAATTTCTCGATTCTACTGTCATTAACGTGTAACATGCCACAGTGCATAGACCTGAGCCATGACACGTGGCACATAAAGCAACATGATGCGGCACTATGTGCACAAGATGTTGAGCATTGTGCTATTCTACAATAGTTAAGTTGTTTTTCAACTAATTTCAATGTCTTTCATTCCTCTAAGGTATCCCATGCTTTTATAACTTGTTTTAATCTGATTAAAAAATCAATGAATGAATTGAACATGTTTTAACTTAAGAAAACTTGGATCGCTTGCTTTTGAAATTTGACTCTTGATAGTATTTAATAAGTTAAACTCTTAATTACCATGAGTTTATTTAGTTAATTATGATTAATAATGAAGGATATTACAACTTGGTATTACTTTCTATAGTTCTGAGAATTGGTCTGTGATTTATATGATTCGTGGTTGAGATGTGTTGTGCATTGGATATAGAGAATTAATAATATTTTATTACATATGTTGATTTCCCTCACTGAGCTAGTGCTAACTCCCTTTTTCATTTTTAGGATTGCTTCTATCCTTAAAAGGGGAGAATATGATGTAAACAATAGCTACAAATATTGGAAATGTACTAGATAATGTGCAAAGACCAGAACAAGGACTGGTGAACGAACAACAACTAGAATCTCAATAGGGTAACAAAGACAATGCCCTAGAAGAATTGAGGCTTATGATGAAGAAAATCTAAAGAAGAATGGATGGCTATGATGAAATCCTCATAAAGAGATATGGGGAAAGCAGTAAGACTGTAAAGGGAGTTAGGGTTGACTATGAGGAAGTCCAGAATGATGAGCACGCTAAGGTGCATGGACATAAAGAGGAAGAATACTATAAGGAAAGTATTCCTGAGAGGTCGGTATGTCTGGTGCAGCCTAGGAGGAGTGAATCAGAAGGCTCTATCGATATGGCCTTAGAGAGGTTCACAAGATTGAATCCTCCTTCCTTTGAGGGTTCTATAGAAGATTGAGCAGTTGAGAAAGGGATCGACAAGCTTGAGACTATCTTCATAGTCATGACTTGTATGACTAAGTAAAGGGTCCTCTTAGCCACTTTCATGCTTAAAGATGCAGTGAAGCAATGATGGGAAAGTGTGAGTGTAATGACCTTAAAATTTCAAATATATATATATATATATCCTCTCAATTTATATTTTATTTAAATTAGTTTTATGACAAATGGAAAGTGGTGATTTAGTGAAACTTATACTAATAGTTTATTTGAAAGTTTAGAGTTTGAATTCTTTTGAGCAATAGGTTAAATTTTATTAGTTTAAAATTTTGGAAAAAAAATTACAAGAAGTGCCCGTTTCTCTTATGCTATTAGAGGAAATGCTGTGCCCTCTTCTTGTAATTTTTGCAATTTTCTAATACTCAGATTTTTATTCCTCTCCCCTCTCAGTCAAACACATGCATAAGGATAAGAAATTTCTGGATCCTTCGACTCAAGCTATTCGGCGATGCCAACTCCCTCTGTTCCTCTTTGATTTTTTCGGTGAGTTCTCATCATTTTGCCTCTAGCCAAGTCTTCCTTATTTTTCCACTTCTTTTCTTCTCCTTTTTAGTGGTGCACACGCATTCTGGGCCAGAGGAAGAGAGTTGGAGATTTTTTTTCTCAGTTCCAGTAGCTTCAAACCTCATATCTAAAAAAATCCTTTCCTGTCTTCTTCCTCTCTATGGTCTTATCCTCTAGCCAGTGATAATAGCATGCTTGCTGTCGCCTAGTCATCTTCCTCATTCGATGATCCGCCTTCTTCACTCATGGCTACGTCGTTGCTAGTGCGTGAGAGCTGATACATAGAAGTTGAAACACTGGAATAAGCTGCTATTCATGATTCTTTTTTATTCTTGTTTTGATTTTGCTGGCTCTGTTCTTCTTTTTTCGCATGATGCATCAAATTTTCCCTCCCCTATTTAGCTTAAGGTGTGATTTCTTCTTCCTTTCACTGTCTTTGTTTGGAAATTTTTGGTACAAGAACTTCAAGTTTTCTTCCTATTTATTTTTGTGCAAGTGGGTGTGTGAGTAGATGATTTGAGTTGCAAAAACATTTTCTCCTCTGTTGCTCTGCTGAACATGACTGGTTATATATATGCGTATAAAGGAAAAGCTTGATTTAAGATGAAATTTGTGGTCGTATAAGAGAAGGAAATGATAGAGTGGGTTTGAGTTTTAATTGAAGCTGATTGGATTAGTGATTATAATATTGCTATTGAAAATTTTAAGGATTGATATTGAGGAGGAAGAGATTAATATGAGCTTAAAGATTGATGCCCATAAATTGTTTAATCAAATGCCCATTTGGAGAGTTTTTGCTTGACTGTGTATATTCTAAAGTTCTAATGATTGAGGCAAAAGGATGATTGATTCAAATGTTATTTAGTAGAGTTTTAATCTGAACATTGCAAAGGCGTTTATTTAAGAGGTTATTGAGGTCTTATCTGAGTTTTGAATAGTTGAGAGTTACAAAATTAAAAGGTTATAAAGTACATTATCATTTTAGAAGTTATACTTGGATGCTTGGAAATGGTTGGGCAATAGAATTAAAGGTTTCATATTTTATTAAATGGTTTGGAATGTCGCACATTAAATGTTTGGTAAAAAGCCTAAGAAGAAATCTTTATGAATGAATTGTATTCTTAAAACTTTAAAATTATTATTGTTAACTTTAGTTGAGTGGGTTCTCTCAAATGAGATTTTGTTGGTTTAAAAAAATAAAGTCCATTAAAATATTATTATATATTATATATTATATATTATATATTATAGGATGTTTGGAAAAAGGAAAGCTCAAATAGAGTCACAAGAAATGAGTTTGGAGCCTTGGGGATACTACAGATAGGTGAATAACATCCTAGTCAATTTATATATATATTTGAAAATTTCCTTTTATCATTATCAACTATTATTTTCAATTATTTATCATCATTAATATATGCCACTCTAGTATTGATTAATGTTGTTGGTTGAATTTCTTTAGCTCTTGAAGTTATAATGATTTATACTTATAAGATTGGCAGAAACACTTTTATAAATTCTAGTACTCTTTTATTCAATAAAGAAAATCATGGAAATGGGTGGACGAGTTTATGGAACGTTAGTTGTGAATTTTT